CCAACCTCTATTATCCCCACCTTTGATGAGCCTTATTTTTTTCGAAGTCGACGAAATCTCTCTCGCTTCCTTCACTACCGATGAACTATTCCCTTTCGCTTTTTGAATAAGATGGGCACCTCAAAATTACCGTGAACTGCGCCTTCAAGAGAGCAAGCGTGAACTGTTCAAATTCCGCCAGCATTCAGGGTACTGAGGCTGACCAAGTTCTATAACTGATCTTCGGCGCATTCGTCTTTGGCCTCTGCCATTATACCAAAATCTCAGCATAACTTCGCGAACATTAGCTTTATTATCTCTACCTATCAATCCAAGGCGTCCTCATGAGTAACTGATCAACTTGGAACGCTTTATCGACTCATAATCACTTTATTCAGGATGAGACCTCGTTTCTTGACTCCCGATCTCCGAAATGTACAGCTGCTTAATTCGATTCAGCTGAACAACTTCATATCAGCGGTACAATTCAGAGGAGGCCCATATATGGTAGGCGGTAACATCTGCCATAACGGCAATAATTTTTAAAAAAAACCAAATAAGTTGCTAGGTTCACCCAAGCGAGCATTTAGCAAAATGGTACCCACTCATACAACCTGAAACAGCTATGTGAAATCATGAACACTGAAACCATCGATCAACTAACTGCTCTGGAACGAGTCAGTAATATCAGAAGTGAGTAAAAATAAATGCTTTGAGAATTGACAAGCCTTTCAAGAGAATTTGGCATACTGATGATCTACAAGTTTGTTTGATCAAGCAAAGAAAAAAAATTCTACTCCCACTTTGTTTAGATCTACAAAGTAAGTACTTGAACGACATGGGAAAATACACACCAGTGGATTTCGATGCTCTAATGAAGTACCTTCTTAAGAAAGATTTCGATGAGGAAGGTTGGGCATGTAAGTTTTCATTTTTCTTTTTTCTTTATTCGATATCATCTAATATTTTCTTATCAAAAAAGAAGTTGGTTGGGTGATTTTCGGAATAATAAATTAAAAAAATCTTTGTTTGACCATGAGCTGCGGCCTTCCCCAATATAATAGTATATGAAGAACCTCTCATATTTTCCGCGATCCCGGGAAAAAACTGTGCCCTGTGCCTTCTTCGAAAAACGGACCACCTGTCAATGACGGACATCCATTTGATTGTAAGCACTCCGAAAACATTTTTTCAAAGAAGGTTCGTCAACACAAACAGCCTCAGTGTCTTGCCAATTACCTACATCTATGGAAATAGTCTTCCCTATTACGTCCTAGACAAGCTGGAAATCCACAGTAAATGGCAAGAAAGTAATCTTATAACACAGCTTCGAATGTACCAATGTCCGAACTTGAAAAGTTCACATATCACTTCGTTATAGTGTGAAGGGTTGTACCGTATTTATAACATCACTTTTTTTCAAAGATCCATGGTCCACCATCTGCACAGCGAGTATGCTTCATTACTCTTGCCTATTATTCTCAGATGTAACATCAAAGCCCCTCCCGAGCTCCAATTCTGGGCGCTTTTCTGGTTGAATTTTTAATGAAAGTGACCAATATTAATCCCATACGCTGCACTGTACAGCATGTGACAAGTACTGATATGCTCGAAGCTGACATCAGATCCAGCTGTTGGGGCACCTGAGGACAGAGTGGTCATTCACATTCAAGTATGTACTGCCAGGTGTTTCTCGAATGCCCGCCTTTAATCTATTTTCTGAACTCTTTATAGCCATAACGAGATATGCATCAAACAAATTAAAAAAGCGAACTAGGAGAACTATGTCCAGCATGTGAAGGATAGAAATCTCAATTTCCAATTCAAAAAATCTCTATGAAAATGTGAAAGGCATAACGAGGATCGGAATAGGTACCAGATGTGAAACGCTCTATCAGTGCTGTCAGAGGTTATGCGTAGGATCCACGAAACCAACACTTAAAGACAAGCAGCTTGATAGTTACTGACTCTCTGTAGTCGGATTTATAAAAATGCGGGTGGTACTGTAGGACCCGAGAGCTGCCACAACTGTACTTGTCAATTAGCCTTTATTTTTGAATGAGGGTTCAAATAACGTAATAATAATTTCAGCCGTTGATCGTGCGACATTATGGCAGAGGTGTACAGAACTAGGATCGTTCCCAACAACTGACGGTGCTATAAATAGCATTTTCGGTTCGCTTGTCTCCATAGAGTGAGTTTAATGATACCTCTTTCAAACCCATAATTTTCGATAGTTCAAGTCATTACCAATTCTTGGAAGTTACCTGACTATAGGAACGTTAATCCCTTATAGTAATACAGTTTATCGCGTGCGGGTTTCCAACACTCGCCGCAGCCTAAAAGCCAAAGAGCTATGATTGTGTGCCCAAGTTAATTGACACTAGGTTGAGTCGAATGATTTTTTATAAATCGGCAGCATTTCCGATTACTTGGCATTTCTTGAACAACTGTGAATCATCGAAAGTATGCTCCACTGACATTCCAACGTCTAGACAGATCTCCTAAATGCCCTTGCTTCAGAATACTTGAGCAGAAACTGGAGGAACTGCTTGGATGGCTCCTTGATGTCGTCGCGGGCTGAGGGGTCTCGATATTCAGTTGACACTGTAGACTGAAAAAGGGTGCTACTCCGAGGAAGTTAGACAGGAACTTCATCAGTCTTCGTTCATTTTGCAAGTCGGTCCTAGCTTAGTCGTGGTTAGAGTAGACATCGGGCCGCTGCTAACACTTCGAAAACCTCACCTGCCCAGCGTAGACATCAGCGGTCATCTCTTGAAGAGCAGCGCTCAGTATTCGACGTAGAGAACGCTCCATCAGGTGTAGAGTATAACTTTTTGACGTCTGGTTTCGGGACGCTGCCGCAATGTTCCCTTTGCCAATCCTTTGCAAATTGGTGTTGATCAGAGTACAGCTCCACTTCATGCCCGGTGACTAGGAGCTCAAACACTGATGGGCGCGCTGTAGCATGAGGGAAAACGTCCTATCTCAGCGTGGCGATCCTTGATTGTCACTTGTGTCAGAGTAGGCGATACCCATTCCTTATGGGATAAGTTAGATTACGCCTATGCTGGTTGGAATCAAGTGGCAGCACTTTTCGCGCCTTACCAATAAGTTTCAGCCCGAATAGGTGCTTTCTAACTCACTTCAAGATCGACTGTCATTCGATTTGATTGGTACAGACTGCCTTCAACTTAGGTTTCGCAGCGAGCTCTAATCTAACCTATTCGGGCGTCCAAGGATCATCGTGTTCGAAGTAGTCTCCCAATGCGAGCTGCAATTCCGCATGAAGATTGGTCTTCCAACGCGATCGTGCTTTTATGAACTTTTGTCAGTCGTCCATCAATATCAATGGGTTAGACAGAAATAGAAAGAGTGCGACATTGTAGAGTTGGAGTGGCGACTGTTGGAACTAGGCGGCACTGCGGCAACAAACCAAAAGATTCGGCATAACCGTTCAATGAAAATGAAGCCTTTGAAGTTTTCAAAGAGCCTCTATAGTTCATCCAAAAGTGGCTAATATGTTTTCATAAGTTTTTCGCTGAGTTGTGATTTTCAGAAATCACTGACACCAAGTTTCCTTCGAGATCATTTGACTCATCCTAACGCAGATAAAGCTTAGATTTCAAAAAAAATTATACATAATCCCAATCAACTCCCAGATTTTAAGAAGTGAAATCTCCACATTAACAATATCGGTGTTGCCAGTTATACGCTTCAGATCTGAAAATTCAAGCAGAACGGGTAAAATCACCTTTTATTCAAAAACATCTTAGGAAAATCAGGAAGAAAATTGTTCCACATGAAAATTTTCACGAAAGAACTACCCTCAACCTTAATGCATGTATAGCCATTAGCTGGTGTTGTTATGAGTAAACCCAGAAAGTTTTTCCGGTTGGTCCTCGTTTAATCATTGACAACCTCAGCTATAATAGTTTCAGCTGCGAATGATATAAGAAGTGCTGCAAGGTCTTCTCATCCTGTAGGAACCGAAATAGCTCGAAGAATGGAATAAATGAATAAGTTTGCAGTTTCTACGCTGATCTATGCCAAGTATTTGGTGAGAAGTACAACGCTGAATACATTGAGAGGGCTGTCGAGAAAACACTGCAGGATCATGGTGGCGCTGATAACTACAAAGTAAGCTATTGGTCTTCTATATCAAGAAAAAGTTATGGGTAAAACCGACATTAATCCAGAACAGGGAGAAAAAAGCGAAAGAAGCGCGAAAATCGGCGAAAATCCTTTTATTAGAGATATATAGGGACTCAAAAAAGTAGTAAAATGCCGGGAGTTGGACGAATTGCGACCACGGAAGTTGCATGGGAAGGATGTTTAAAAGCGAGCCGTTCAAATATGTGCGCCATTGCGTACAAGTGCATACAGTAAAATGCCTACGTGCAACGTGTGCTCCACGGCGCGAGTGGTGCAATCTCTACAGCCTCAAAAATTCTGAGAGAATTTGTCTTGCAAGGTTGTGCACATCTGCTGGACCGGGTTTAGGACCCTTATTAAGTTCCATTTGGACCGTTTTCGAAGGAGTACTACCAGTTCCTTGACTATACACTCAGCATTACTAAGAACTTCGTGCTTGAACACACGCTCAAAGCCGAACATATCAAGGCACAAGAGTAGAGAGGGTCCATGGACGAAGCACTCCGCAACTCTCAAGGCATTGCTTCTCTTTACGTTGTTGAGTTTGGAGGCACCTTTCTTCGGACTAAGTAAGCCACTAGCACGAGGGGTGTGATGAGTTATTAGCGAAAAAAAGGTTGAGAGCGTGTAGCTTCATTGTAATATTTAATTGGTCAGCAATTCAAGCATGGCTCTTGCAACTCACTCAGAAAACAGTTCCTCCAACCGACATCCGATAATTTAGGGCACAAATGTCGTGATTGCCAATGGCGGATCCGACCCGTATCACTTGTTAAGCAAACTTTCATCAAGAGATCCCACCGTTGTTACGTACCTTATTGAGGGTGAGCTTTTTTCCATTTTACCATTTACCTCATAAAACTATAAATGTATATCGAACCTCATATTCTTCATTGATACCACGGCACTTAGGATATGTAGACTTGGAAACATCCCTTAGGGAAGTTGGGAGGTGATCAGTTAATTAAATACACCCGGATGTTCCACGTGTACCGTCTTCCTCCAATTGAAAAAGGAATAATACTATCCCGAAATAGTATCCAAACGGAAATACATTACATCAATGCCCGTTAGTAGAATTCATGAAAGACAGCTTCACTTCGCTGAAACGAGGATGCTCAGATGGGCATCCGGTTGAGTGTGACTGGACCGCTTAAGAAACGAAGACGCCGGAGTGTTTATGAGTACATCGCCTGTGTGGCTGAAGATGAGGGGCAGTTTCTACGATGGTACGGAAACGTATTGAGGAGACTATCGAATTATATAATGAGATAGAGGCTCAAGTTAAGCATATGACTACGAGGAGCCCCAAAGAAGAGGTTGCAGGACATAAACGAGAAGGACCACGGCCATGGGAAGCTGATCGTGAGGTGGCGCGGGATTAATGCTAGAGAGAAGAAGAAGTGTACAGACCAACGACGTTTAACTCCACCTTATATTTCCATGCACGAGAGGTCCCATCTCGTATCTCAGTGTCAAGAGTGAAAACAAATTTGCCTGCTCCAAAATTTCTTCCGGAGGCAATGAAATTCAGTCTGTTCCGGACGATAGAATAGACGTTCCGCTTATAATCGTTCCCGCACTCCCGCTTCGAAAACCGTTCGACACAATGAAGAAATGTGGGGTGTGTAATCATCTCTTTGAAACCATGCCTGTAGTTCAATCAACCATAACAAATGAGAAGAGGCAAAAAATAGTACATCACCATAGTAACATTTTTGAGCTTCCTGACCCACTTAAATTGATATTCGAGTGAAATGAGCACTAGTTAGCCGACCCCAAGAAAATGAAAACTTAATCTGAACCAGATAAGATGAGAATCAAGAGCTGGAAGACTAGTAGTTATTTTATCTGAATTTATTTTATTCCCGCCAGTTTATTTTGTAGGAATTTCCTATTTCTGTTGTTTAATTCTGAAATTTTTCCCCAGAAAATTGTTTCAGAATAGTCGTTTCAGTTTTGAGACGGAATTTGATGACATTCAGGTGGTTCCCATTGTGGTGATATGTTCCCCTTCGAATTCAACAACTCACCCACTGCTGCACCAGGAACAAAGCTGATTCATCTGCTAACTGCTCAAAATATCGACAACTGGATTTCGGGTGTTCCGAGTCCATTCCACATCGGTAAAGTACACAAGGACGGCTACGGTATCATCCAACGTTGATTTTTTAAAAAATAATTTTCAGATAAAAAAGAGCCAGAAAAACAGTTAGCGAAGCTAGAAGTATCCGCGATGCCCGCTATGCCGCTTCCCTCTCCGTCTTCGAACGGATTGAAAAACAGGTTTAGCGTTTTCAAAAGACAGTCCGCACAAGTGAGTGATTCTTTTTGCAACCAGTATTCATTATTTATGAGTAGTGCACAGTGAAAAGAACAGGAACAAGTAACTGACATTTCAGGCTGTCGAAACTCAGCTAACACCCAGAGAAATGGATATACTTCAGCGTGTGCGCCTGAGTAGGCCCCCACACGGATTCGTCCCTAATCTGGACACGGTCAGTGCCACAATCATTGTTAGAATCTTCTTTTGACACCTGTGGACGCTCAGTTGACGAAAGACTAGGAGCTCGATCGATTTGCGCAAGCTTGAAGAAGCGTGAAGCTATAGCGGGCTCAATATCACCTTACTCTTACTAAGCGGGCGAGATAAGCCAGGGTTTTTAGCGAAGAGACGGAAAAGGATCCAAAAGTGGGTCATCAAAGGTTCAAACTTTCCAGCTCTACAGGATTAATTAGGAGGTTTGTGAAATCGGAGTCCTCACAACCATTTTTCCACTTCGCATTGCGCCGTGACATTCCCCGTCACAGACATCTTCCCCTAAAGTTCCACTGCTTTGACCCAATCCCAAGAAAGACAGAACTCTAAAACTTCAAAATTGCCTAGGTTTACAACACGAATAAGATATGGCAAAACGTGATTATCAGACACCAGAGATAGTTGACGATTTTAGCTTAGTGAGTGAAACAAAAAGGTTTTACACTAAAAGTTGACAAATTNCCCTTGCAATCGTGTAGGATAAGAAACACTTAGGATGAGAGATTAAAAGAGATAAGGCTAGGAAGTAAAGTCTGCGAACCGATGATTCGATATTAAACGGTGATACTGAAGAGGATGGAGGTATATATCGCATTATAGTGCCCCCACTCAACTTGGAAGAATAGCCGTTAGGGTGGGAGCTGACACTAGCTCTTTTCATTTCCTTTACGGCAACACTGTTCCTCGCGTAACTTGGAGGGGTTTAGCCACCTTGCGAAAATATTTCATATTTCTCGTGTTTACTATCGCTTTTTCCCCTTTTCGGCATTTTCCGCAACTAGTCGCTTGACCGGAGCTCAGCTTATAATCCGAGTATTATAGATCCATTGTTAGCCGAGAATAATGATGGTTAATTTTAAATTTAAATCGATTCAAATTGTTAATTTCGCAAATAGTTGAATGTTCCTGGTAATTTTCAGGTAGATACGCCAACAGAATATGAAACTGGGTACTTTACACAGCCCGTGGACCATTTCAACAACCAGAACCCGGCCACATTTGATCAGGTAATCCGTTAGTTTTACACCTCCGTTTCGACGTACTCTTACAACCGTTATACAGGAAGGGGTCAAAATTATACATGTAAGTAAAATTTGCAAAGAAGAAAGTATGGAGAAAAATTAGACAAAAATTTGCAACATCTTCTTGAGTTCTATTTGGACAAAAAGGTATTCCATTCGCCTTTTTTCAAGCTAGGTTTGTACTTTCAGGGATTCGAATGTCTGAGTGGGGTGTTTACTCTGAAGGAGTGAAAGACTTAGCTAATTAAGCTCAACTCTTTTGGTAATTAAGCCCCATAAATAACAACTCGGGGCTAAAATGATTACTTCTAAACATTCGTGCTCTAGAAAGTTCTTCCCAAGAGTTTTCGAGAGGGTTACTTGCTCCTACAATAAGTAACTGTACAGGCGCTAAGCGATCAAATTCAAAAGCTAGAGAGTGTGAACCTGATTTTAACTCCAAAGGCAGAAGATGTAGAAGAGAAAGTTATTGAAATGAAAGTTAGAAAAGCACCAATATCGTTGAACCTATTTCCAATTTCACACGTTACAGAAATACTACAAAAACGAGCAATGGGCAAGAGAAGGCGGTCCAATATTCCTCATGATCGGCGGCGAAGGACCAAGTAGCTCTAAATGGATTCTCAACGAAAATTATACTTGGTTGCAATGGGCTAAAAAATTCGGAGCAACAACATACATGCTAGAACACAGATACTATGGCGACAGCGATCTTCAGAGGTTACTTTTCGAGTATGCCTCTATCTCCATATTTCGTTTTCAACCATTCCGACATTCTCAAACGTTTTTGCAGCTCCACTGATATGAAGCTCAAGAAGACATACACGACCTATCTCTCCTCGCTCCAAATGCTTTACGACACGGCCAATTTCATTCAAGCCATTGACGCCGATAATGGCAAAAAAGGCACATGGATCGTTTTTGGTGGATCCTATGCTGGTGAGCCTTGGAAACTTCGATAAACTTTCATAATTCAGCTCCCCTTCCAACTCGTGACTTCGTAGGTAATATGAATTGTAGACTTAGCACTAAATGTTACTTCATACAAAAATCGAAGAGGAAGTTGACTTCAATCAAAAAGAAGTAGAAGGTAGAAGAAAGTAAGAGAAAAAGCGCACAAGAATCTACTAAATTTTGATCAAAAACGGTTCGATCACCAGTCGATGCTGTGAGAGGGTTCCTGTCTCAACTATTCACATCAACGCTGATCTACGATTACAGTTATCCGATGCTTCAATTTTTTTGTGTGCTCGGGGTGTTTCCATCGATAGCAAATTGTTGAAGTGGAATGTAGCTTGAAGGCGTTTAGTGTTCCACAAATGATAGAAAATCATTTTTTCTATTTATTGCTGCAGTCGTGATGTAGGGATGTCGGTGCTCTTCCCCGAAAATTCAAACCTTCACCCCCACCGCGCGCGACTGCATGCGGCCGAGTGCTACGAGCGCGACGCGACTTTCGGGGAAGAGCCCTCACACCCCTACAACACGACTGCAGCAATAAATAGAAAAAGTGATTTTCTATCATTTGTGGAATACTAAACGCCTTCATGCTACATTCCACTTCAACAATTTACTATCGCTGGAAACACCCTGAGCACACAACACTACATCAGTCTAGAATCAACAGCAAAACACAATCAACGCCTGAACGGAACCCTGAGTGAAATTCGTTTTTATACTACCAGGCAACTTTTTCGATCTTCTTGATGCTTCAGAAACACATAGTACTCCCATTTTTTAGGAAATCGGAATTTCCAAGAAGCCCTCAATCTAGATTTTGCAAAGTAACTTTTTAGGTAAAGGTTCGTCTTGCCACTTTGTTTGAAAAAATGCTTATAAAAAAGTACTTGACTCAAGGGAGAGCCATTTGGAATGTGAAAGACATCTTAATTGTTATAGGAGATACTTGTCAGAAAGCTGTACGTGTACTTAATTATAAGCATTTTATAGGATCATTAGCCCTGTGGATGCGTAAGCTCTTCCCTAATCTCGTCCATGGAGCTGTTGGTTCATCGGCACCTCTTGAAGCGAAGCTGGACTACCATGGTAAGGAAAAAATTTCAGATGAGTTTAGGCTATTGAGGATTGAAAGGTTTTCAGAATATTACCAAGTGGTCGAAGCATCCATCCGGGGATACAGCGAGGATTGTGCGTATGCCATAGGAGAGGTACCGTAGGAATCCAGTGAAGGCCAAGTGGCTCGAGAGCTTTTTATTTGAGGCAATTTACAACAAAGAAAAAATCTGTGTTCAGGGCTTCGAGGATATTCATGAGAAAATGCTTACGGAACGTGGAAGGGAAGAAATATCAAAAACATTCAAGTAAGATGGTTTTTGGCATATAGATGTGAACTATTCATTCATAAGATCGTTTCTATGAACAAGAGAAACAAGGTCATGATCACTCGACTTTGCTATTCTCAACGGGCAGAGGGGCTAACCTTCAAAGCTGTGGGTCAAGAACTTTTGGAGCGGTTCTGCTCACAATTTACGAATATTACAACCCTTGTGAGTCGTAGAATCTAGTAAATTACGCCGCATACAGTGCTGAACGAATAAATAAAACTTTCTTCCATGGAAGAGTACAAATGATTCGAATTATAATATAAGGTTTCTCGTCTAAGGCCCACCCACACTATCACATGGCGCTTATCAGCACTTATTTAAAAGGATAGTACAGTAGTATTTAAGAATCTGGTTCCAGGCTCAACCCTCCATGGGATGATGTCTCCGATGTTTTCGAAATAGACAAGCAGTTCTTCTTCTGGAACCTTATGGAGCAGTTTACGGCCGCCGTCCAGTACAGTGGAGATAACACAGGGGTAAGCACACACAGTAAAAGCTCTTGATCGCTGTGCGCCATAAGGCAGCCGGTGTCATAACTGGTCAACAGTTACACAACCCTAATCCTCCAAAATTGCGGAAACTGCCACATACAGGGCGAAGCTACCTGTTACGTACTACACCAACAGACCAATTAAAAACCAAATATGAGACCGTTAGCCTAATGCAATCAAAGAGATGAATCTGTGTTGCCATAGAATACTAAGTAGATGAGACGTAGATATTCGGACCACCTTCCCATACAAAACCTAGACAGGTGCGCTGGATTAATCAGACAGAAGGTAATAAGCTAAGTGAAACCACTTCTTTCAAAATACAGCTATCAATTGGAGCCCAATAGTGCTGTCACTTATGAACGACTGTCGCTAGCCTTGATACAGACTTTTTACTAGGCCCTTAGGTGTAACGTCACAGCCCTACCGTAGCTGAGCTATGTAGCTTGAATCCCACGTGAATGTACGCCATGTGTAGTGGCAATGTTAAGATAATTAGATTCCAAAAGATGCTAAGAAGCAATTGATGACACCTGTTTATGGAACCAGTTAGGCAGAGATATGTATTATAATACCTTATAAGGCTCTTTGAAGGGATATGCTGATGGCCACGGAATTCCGGATTTGTGCAAAATCATGACCAACGAAAGTTGGACGCCCATTGCAAGAATCGCCCAGTTTAACGAATACATGACGAGATTCTTCACGGTGAGCATTTTAGTTATTGCATTTATTGTTCTAAGCACTATCTGCAATAAAAATCCCTTACTGAAATTCTGATCGCGCTTTTTGATCGAATCTGATTCAAGAAATTCTTTCATATTTACATAAAAAAAAAACTAAACTCCAAGTTGAGGTATGCGAGTAGGCTCGAGTAGAAGTTGCTATTGCACAGCTACAATGGAAATATTAAAGGCATAACAAGTAATTTTGAGGTAGCTAGTTTCATTAATTAATGGAAGTGATAGTCCACAATAGCGCGAAAAAAGTGAAAAGATCGCGAAGTTCGGCGTTTTCAGGGAAATGTAGTGCTCGGAAGTGGTAAAATGAGGTGACAAAAATTGCACTGAACGGGAATTTGGACGAGCTATCCAAAAGGGCGTGTCATTGCATACAGCTCGTTAGGGAACTTGCTTACGTGCAGATGCGTCCCGATACGAATGGTGCAATCTCTACAGCCTCCGTGAAAACTCGTCTCTTTTTAATGTTTAAGCCAGCTGCTATTTCGGAGCCCCCATTACGCCATATCTAAGCCTGCTTTTCGAAGAAAACTCAGGAACTACATTTATGGAAAGTTAATGATTCTGATCGAATTAATGATTCAAAGGTACAGCAAACTAGCATATTTTGAATTGGCATAATATGATATGAGTGGCACAGTGGTGACTACATTACCATAAGACTGCAGTCCCTGGACTACCGAAGAATGAAAGGTGCTTCGCCAAGGAACAGCTCATTAAAACGTGGAGTCAACAAGCCATAGCAGGCGTCGCATGATGCAGCTCACTTCGACTTTGGTTGATCACAGCCAGGATATTTCAGTAGTTGATTATGGCAACCATTCAACTATTCATTATGAAAACAATTTAGCTTATCGGTTGAAGTGGTACAATCAAAACGAGCAACATACTTGCTTACCAGAGCTATGGTTCTTATCTTCGGTACATTTCAAATTGACCCTGTAGTTGTAGTGGCCCTCACACCAAACTGATACGCTCTAATGGTTTTTTTTTTCCGCGCGGCTTCTTTTACAGATTGCATTAATAACGCTTCAATTCTAACTTTCAGGGCGAACCTGCCTTCAAATACACATTCAATAGTTACAAAGAGTTCGTCAGCACCGCGTACAAGGCTCAGTTCGCAACTGACAAAAGTAAGCTCTCTTTCACATGACTAGCCCCGAGAAAGAAAAGTGGATCAAGTCAAGCAAACGCGCACTGAAGAGGATGTTCAAGACATTGAGGGTGTTTATGGTGGAATCGGTTTTTAATATTGTAAAGGGTACAGGCAAGAAACGCAAAACGCAGGTGATCGCTGCCTGAAAGAGATGACCCCAAAGGTCCTACTGCATATACAGAGCATTACAAATATCCTAAAAGCTGTCAGCAGCTTTTCCAGTGATTCGCAACTTTTGCTTCTGGAGCTTTACCCTTGACCCCAACTACAGCCTCCACAGCACCCTATCCGGTTCCAATTCCTTTTCATAAAGGCATATGCATTAATAAAAATGAAGAGAATCATGTACGGTTTGAAGGGCTAGCGTCGTCTGGTATATAACTCCTTTCAAAGGGAACCTGAGCTAACAATGTAAACTGAACACTTACTTCTCACTTATGTACAACGAACTAACTGTGAAGGTCCTACAGTAGTACTAAAACAGCGCTGAAAAAGGTTGATATACTGCAGACTCGGCGCCATTCTAGTTTAGTTTAGAGGGATGGAAGAAGCCTCAGAGTGCCTGTACAACATTGACTGGAAGAAAATGAAAAAGGAGGTGAAACAACATATGAGACGTTCTGATCTGCGAGAATCAACTTAACGGGCAAAGTCAAAAATACTTTTTGAATAACCCGCAAGATTAGAATTCGGTAGGGAAAGAGCGGCGAGGGGAAAACATCTTATAGTTAATCGATTTAAATTTCGCTGTCCGTATTCATGGCGTTTAAAACACACTGGATCACTCTTCATATAGGATATCCCCAACCGTTTTAGTGAACCTAAAGGGAGCATATGTGCGAATCAACTTCCAACAATATATTCAGCGTAAAGAATTAAATTCTTTCAGTCCATATTTGCTTGTTATACTCTGAATCTTAACCCTTTATTTCAGAGGCAGCAGCAGGAACGCTTTGGCTATGGCAA